CGACAGCTCGGCACTTATCGTCTCGAACAGATCCTTCGCGGCGAAGCTTCCTCGGCCGGATTGTCCTTGAAACCGTCAAGGGATTCGCGGCTGCGTCATAAAAGTTAAGTTCCACCGGACTAAAAACTTCTCGCCGTGCGTTTCGCGGATTGATATGAATGTGACACGGATCATCGCGCGCAATATCGCCATATCGCTGTGCGAGTGTACGTTTTGTGTGTGTGTGTGTGTGTGCGTGTGCAAGCGTGTGTAAGTGTCCTCAACGCGTACCCGAAGAAAGACTGTCCGCGACAACGTTTCGATTCATTAAGCTCCAGACAGCATAGATGTCCTTTTATCGACGGTCGTTACTTGAAACTTGTCTCAAGTGAGATACTCGAATCGGTATTTTTAGGCAGTCGTATTGGTAGTCGTTACTCGATCGAAACTTGTCTCATGCGAGACGCTCAAGCTAGATTTTGAGCGGCTGTTTTATTCGAGTCGTGTGCACGATATAATTGTAATCGCGATTCGATTGAGAAGCTCATATCCAACTCCAAAAATCTTAATGTCTAACTTGAAACTGTTCAAGTAATTATTAATATAAATCTTAGAGTCAATTGCAAGTTTTTTCAGTCAAGTCAGACAGACTTTGTCACGTGATGAGACGAATTTCACGCAACGACTGTAATATGAGCCTAAACAGACGTTCTGAAGACGTCATGGAGACATGACTTTTAGATGCTTCTGGACATCTTTGCTATCTGGGACCGATGACGTTTCGTTTTATAAAAGATCAATTAGATTAAAATTATTATCAATTAGAATGAAACCGACTGATACGAAATAATTGAGCCGCGTCGATACTCGAAATATAACGCGAATATCTGAATATAAGTTAAGGATATTCGAAGACGTCCCAATTTCGCTCGGACGCTTCTCGTACGACTCTTTCGCGACTTTTAAATATCTGGTCGTCAAGAAATCGAGGAAGGAGCTCAAGCTAGGCCACCCTGGCGAGATCGTGCGGGGTGTCGCGTTGTCGTCGCGCTCGGATTTTCGTCCTTGAAGAAAATCCGTCGTGATGAACTGAGCGAAGTGGGGCGAAAAAAAAGCGAAAGAAACGGTCGCCCCGATCCGAGCGCGTCGCACAGCACTCACTCGACGGTACACGAAGAAAACTTGAATTATCTCAATTGTTCCGTGACAATTGCTGTGTAATTCCAATTCTGCTGCCCTAATCAATCATCCTTTCGTGTCATTTGAACTCAAGGAACTCAAGTTTGCTATTAAGAAAAAGATGTATAAAAAAAATTCATTCTTCCTCTTAAAAAGACAAATCCTCAGTCCACTAATAGACGATGAAAAATATGGTAAAAAATTTTCAAAGAATTTCGTGCAGAAACAAACTGCAGTATCATCTTCGTATACGCGGCGAGGCGTCTTCGGAACGTGTCGCAACGTCGTAACACCGCACGCATGTATCGTTATCTATCGCGTCGGTCTCTTCGCATCGACCTCGTCGCGACGTGATCGTCTCGTTATTCTTGCTTAATCAGCGTCGGCCCGCCGATGTCGGAGTCCTCCGCGACGGACATTCGTGGCCTCACTCGCTCATATCGATCTCTTACCCCGCGATTTCGCCGGAATCAAGCGACCAGTCAAGAGTGTCGCTCGCTCTCCTCCTCTTTTCTGCTCATCTCTCCCCGACCGCGGAAGCTGCCGGGGCTTCTCGTGCTCGCGACCGCCAACTCGCGAACTCTCCCTCCCGTCCCCCAGTGTCTCGTCACCCGATAATCTCGCAACCTTGGCCGATTATCATCGATGCACACCGTTCTCCGTGCTTGTCCGCTAACGCGCATTCGCCTAAGTTTCTCACCTCTCACTCTCACTCTCTCTCTCTCTCTCTCTCTCTCTCTCACTCTCTCTCTCTCTCAGGCTCACCTCTTACTTGGGATTATGTGCCCCGCAGATGTGTACACAGAAACATCACTTACATCGCTTTAATGCTGAATCATTTATAAGCTAATAACGCAGTAAATCGGTAAGACTCTTACAAATATACTCTCCCGTACACCCTCCTCGCTCATCTCGCCTGGTGCTCGCAAAACAACACATATTATCCTCGAGAAGGCGTCCCGCCTCCCTCGGTACCTATCAACATTTGTCGTTACGTAGTTATTAAATTTGCGCGCGCGCACGTGTGTGTGTGATATACGTTTGTGTAAGTATGTGTGTGTGTGTGTGTGTGTGTGTGTGTATGTGTACCATCGTATTCCCTTACCCACTCTTCCCCTTAGTTCCACCCTTTCAGAAGCCTCGCGGAATTCAGTCGTCGTCGCGCGCGCTGCGCGAGTCGCGAAACGTCCCTCGTCCTGCGTGCGTCGCCGGCCGACTTTCTCGATGGATGACTAGAGCCGAGTTGTGCCTGTTGCCTATCATTGTCGACGAAAGCCCAACTTGAATTCAAGTCAGTGTCCGAACAGAGCTTAAATTCGGCAAGCTTAAACTTGACCACTATTCAATCGACGTCGGTCGAGAAACGGGCGAAGATCTTTCTTTAACGCAGAAGCTGATACCGAAGCGAGTCAAAGCGAGCCTCCCTCGAGCAACAGACTCGTGTCTCTCGGAGCTCTCTTGGAGCAAGAGGAGCACCTCTTGCTCTTCGCTTCACTTGTCTCCGCTGTCAGCTTCGCGTGTAACGCCGCTCGCTGCGACGCCGTCACGCTGGCGATACTGACGAATCGCGCAACGACGATCGACTGTTCGCGATAGCCTCATCGTGGTCTCGATAGCTGTCGACAGTAAACGCAGCTTAGAATGGCTCCCCGATACCCTAATGTTAGGCTAAAGTTAAGTCATGCGCATTGGCACGCGCTATTTGGTACGTTTCATTGAGACTTCTTATATTTCTCTTTCTTTTTTGGTTTCCGTATAAATACTTTATCTCTAAGGTCGCCATTAGCTTAACGCCCTCGACCCTGCTGGTGACGCCTCGGTGCCTCGACTTACTCGTAGTGGGTAATAGCGGCTGGAGAACGTTAGCTCGCCACTCGCGCTCGTCCGATCAATACGAGGATCAGAGAACGGCCCGATTTCAGATCACGTCGGGTCCTATATATATATATATATATATATATATATATAAAGCGTCGCGAATGTATGACAGCAACAATTTTGCTTTTCGTCTTACAGACACGTCGTCGTAAACTAAGACCGCTTCGTCCGATTACACAATAAGATACAAAGAGGGTGGTCTGTGGGGAGGGTTGAACCCGGGGGTGAGGCTCGCTAGCGAACGTCTCGTTGATCATTTGTGAATCGCTGCCGCTGAACGCTCACCTCGACGGTTTATGGTCCACGAACGCGATACCGATGATACAAAATACTCGATTCGATAGTAGTAACGAATTCTTGTGAGACTTCGGACGTATCATAAGACGTGAATGTCCTTATCAGTGACAGTGTCCTCATTCGTGATAATTATACCCACTTTCCTTGATAAGTCAGCAAAAATATCTGTATTTGCCGTAAGCGCGTTCTTGCTTTGAATCTTGCACGATCTCGTCACAAGTCTCGAAGAGTGTTTAAAAGCCTTAGTAAACGCTGGAGTGTCATCATTACAAGCGAACTGCTGATGACGACACTTCGGACAGTTAGTCACCGACATTTCAAAAATTGATAATTAATATTAAATGTCTGTCAGATCTGTGCTTCTCTTAAACTTCTTCGAAGCTAAACCATCGATGAGGAAACAAAATTGAACTGTCGTGTCACTAAATGGTATTCCAATCATTTCTGAGGAAATATAAATCAATATTGAAATCTTTCCGTAAATTAGAAAAATATAACACACACAGTTAAAATTCGAGCTCTTCAATCAAATCAGCTTTGTGTACTTTGCCTAACATATGTATCATTAATTTATTAATTTATCTTCACGATTAGGTTGACCGCTAATTGGGGCATTTAATCACAACTGAATAATAAAAGTAATACAGCATAGCTCTATATAGTATATACGTATTAATTGTAATATATAAATATTGAAATGAATACTATTCATACGGAGACTCCTGGAAGACGTCCAGAAAGCATCTGACAAACGATCCGAGCGATCAGGACGTTCCCTCCCCGTTCGTGTCATTCGAGTGTCGTTCTCGTCGACCACGTTCTTCCTCGGGATATCGGACGAGCGCGAGTATTGACGCTCGTTCAGTTGGAGCATCTTCAACTCGAAGACGCCCGTTCGCTCTCTCTCCCTCTTTCTCTCTCTCTCTCTCTCTCTCTCTCTCTCTCTCTCTCTCTCTCTCTCTCTCTCTCTCTCTCTCTCTCTCTCTCTCTCTCTCTCTCTCTCTCGGTACGGCGCGTGCGAGTCACGTTCGCGCTTCCACCCATTCTTCCGTCGTCCGCCCCTGCCGAGGACCCGGCTATTGTCCTCGTCCTCGCAGGTCACAGACAGAGTCGCTGCTGTCGGACAGCAAAACAGCCGATCACGATTTCAAGACGATGCGACGGGTACGATGACGAAAAGAAATGGACTGACTACTCGCCGGACGCGAAACGCGCTGCGGAAGGTCGCGAGGGTTACTCTAAGCGGGCCGGGACTTCAGAGACGAAGAAGAACGTGCCGTGTATGAACTCCTGTCGTGAACGAGCAAGCGCGTGTAGAAGAACGACTCGAGTCGAATCTTCTTCCTCTCTTTTAAATTCTGTCTCTTGACGCCCGAAGGATCATTCCCTCCGCGATCGTCCCTATTCGCCCTTTCGTCAGGATCGAGGTAGAGTCACGAGACGTGGCCCCGGAAGATCCTCCGCAAGATTCTGTCCGCGAGGGTGGTCATCCAGCGGGTGTCGCGCCGCGCTCGCCTTTTCTTCTACGCACGCCTGTCTTCGTCGTTGCCATTCTTTTTTTTCCTCTCTTTCTCTTTGCCCGCGGAAGCAACGATGACGTCGCTTCAACGGTGCGGCGTGACGATGCGTGACCGGCCGTTTCTTGCCCGTGTGTCTCTCTGTTTTTCTCTTTTTTTTTCCACATTTAGTCCCGTAATAAAATATAACTTATGCGAGATAGCAGAGTACAGTGTACGATTGTGCGCAACGAGATTTACGCCCGTTCCGGAACGCGTTACACGTGCTGGTAACACGCGCCTAATATGAGGTCCCATAGTGTGCATTCTTCTCGTAGTGGTATTCCCCCCTGTCTCCGTCATCCTTTCCCTCCCCGCACGGTCCTACCCCCTTCCTACATCATGGCGAACTTAACAGCTTCCGATATTGTCGATACACCTCGTGTAAGAAAAGAGAACGAAAGGGAAAAAAACGAAGCGCTTAGAAAAATACACTCTCGACATTCCTTCCCGCGAGTCTTCCTCGCGAGTGACGCTTGCGCGTGTTGCAGGATGTAACCCAGGAGTCATCTGTGTGTGCATGTGTGTATGTGTGTCGGTGGCGAATCCTCTTTCGATCGGCTCCGGAAACGACAGCCTGTACACGCGCCCCCTCTATTCGTCTGATGTGGATACGGAACATCCACGTGAAATCTTTGCTAGTCAAGCGCCGAAAGTCAAGTTCCTCTCTTTCTCTATGCTGGCGCTATTTCGCGTAAATAAGCGTTACTTGAAACTTATCTCACGTGAAACGTTCGGATTTCTGTTTAGAGTCGAGTGTGAGTTGCCCAGCGATTGGAAAACACACAGATTCAACTCCAAAGTTCAGATTACCTTGTTCCGCGCGTGAAGAAAGTTTCAAGTAACGAGTATTAACGCAGACCTAAGTTCCACTCTCCTAATGTTCCACCGATATTTTGCAAAGCACGAACGGATAGCTCGAGGAAGTTGCGAGGATTTCAGGTCGACGTCCTGTATGTTTTCCGGATTCGTACCGGTGTGCGTACCTGATGAGATGAAGGTGTCATTGTATAGGATAAATGCCCCAGTTAGTGACCACAAGCAACCTCATCATAAAAATAAATCAATAAATGAATAATATATCTGCTAAGCCAAGTATACACACACAAAGTTAATTTTATTGAGAAGCCTGGACATTTGCAGTTTTCATTGCGAGTTATATTTTTCTTTTTAGGAAAAGCTTTAGGAAAAAACCTCCATTGAATTTTCGTATTTACTTAGAAATGAATGCAGTATTATATTTAATGACACGACAATTTAAGTTTGTCTCTCCATCAACAGGTTAGTTTTGAAAAATTTCAAGAGCAACCGCACAGATCTATCAAATATAGACATACGATATTAATTATCAACTTGTAAGATGTTGGCAAGTAACTGTCCAAACTATCGCCTGCAGTACGCTCATAATTGTATGGTGTTCCAGCATTTATGCTATGGCTTTCAATTTTATTCAAAACTTTCCAACCGATATAAAGCTCGCAGTAAGAACACATATTTATGATGAATATGAATCCGTATTAACTGATGATTAAGGAGAACGGATGCAATAGTCATGAATTGGAGCCATTCATGTCATTAATTGGGCCATTCACCTTACGTTACACTCCAATGCGATTATTTACGAAGGAAATGAGTTCCCCTCTCTCTCCAACACTTTGTCTCTTCACGGTGAAATAATTATATGTGTGTATGTGTGTGTGTGTGTGTATGTGCGTAAAGTTTGATACTTGTAGCTAAAACGTTCCTGTGCCTTGAGGATATCTTGTGTGCGCGATGGTTATTAACGTTAATGACGCCGTAGGCACGAGGTAAAGGAAAGAATGAAGAGTAAGAAATTAAAGAAATCTAACATTACTCTGTAAAAAGTATGTCAATTCGCTTGGAAAATTCGTCGCGTAGCGTTTCTTAGCTGCTCTCGATATTTATCAAAATGCAAGTCTGGGAAATTCTGGACGCTCTCGAGAGGTACCATCATCATCTCGCGTCCGATCGTATGCGGAGGTGTGCGTGTACGTATGTGTAAGTGGATGAGTAGCCGGGTGTGTGCGTATGCTTCAATGAAAGTAGAAGACAATATATATATATATATAATATATATATATATATATATATATGAGAGCGGATGTGCGTGTACGAAATTCTGAGTGCGCTTAGTCTGTGCGCTAATCTGTGTGCGACGCTGACGAAAATTGTAGATAAGGTCTCTCGACTTTGCGCGCGTAGTGCGCACGCAATGGCTCCCTAGGGTGCCGTGGAATGTTCGAGTGTTTCTCGTCGCGAGACGAGAACGAAGTCAATAATCGCAAAATGCTCGAGTCTCGAATAGGTCCTTGTGCGGACGGGCTGACGAGAATGTGGCGACGTTTTATTCTTCCACGTCGCGTTCTCTCCTAATCGAGGAACCCGCGAATCGTTTCCTCGCGCGGGATCTTCACGTTTTCATTGTTGTCATCGTCGTCGCCGCCGTCGCCGCCGATGAAAATGGTGTCGTCCGCAGTGCGCAACCGGCGATTCGATCGCTTCGCTCTCATTTCCCGCGAAGACGTTCGCTCCGTCCAAGGAACGGAGACAACGACGGCCCGTCGTCTTCTTATTCCTTATTTCGCAAATCGCTTCTCCTTGCTGCCTCTTTGTCGACGAGGCGCGTGTCGAACGAGAGGACGCCGCGCGACCAACGTCGGTTTTCGGGATTCGGTGGTCTAAGACAAGACAAACTAAACACGTTCCGCTACATTTTCCGATAACGAAAGGGGTTGTTTCTCCTTTTGTCTCACTCCATCACTCTCTTTCCCTGGGTCTTCATCTCCATCCTTCTCTTTTTCTTTCTCTCTCTCTCTCTCTCTCCCTCTCTCTCTCTCTCTCTCTCTCTCTCTCTCTCTCTCTCTCTCTTTCCCGAGCTGGAATGGAACCGCGACGAGCCTCGAACCCGCTGAAGAATGTCGTGTGGCCAGCCATGTCGTGGTAACGCTTTCCTCCTCTTGCGCTTAATGTAGAATACAGAATTAGCCTAGTAGAGACCGCAGCCGCGCAGATTATTGGCTATGATGACATCTGTGACTGCGTCGAACACAAATTGAATGTTGTTCGTGTCGGTGGCACAGGTCATGTGGCAGTAGATCTCCTTCGTGGTCGACTTGTTCTTCGCTTCGAACTGCGCCTGGATGTATGCAGCCGCTTCGCCGTACTCCTGCGCACCTGGTGAAACACAGAGGCAGATTTCGTGACGCGTCACGTTAACCGGACTTTAAATCATGACACAAAAATGCAAATGACAAAGACGAGACGGTACGACGTCGTAGTGCGCGCTTTCGCGACAAGACTCACCGGCGTACTCGGGGAAACAGATGGTGAGAGGAGATTTGCGAATTTTCTCCTCGAAGAGATCCTTCTTATTCAGGAAGAGGATAATGGAGGTGTCGGTGAACCACTTGTTGTTGCAAATCGAGTCGAACAGCTTCAAGCTCTCCTGCATTCGGTTCTGCAAAAAAAGGTCGAAAAAGCGATATCGTAAAATCGTTCGTATATGAACGTGCGGACTATTTTTTCGTATTCTTCAATTTTACCCCGCTCTCTGGTAGCGAATATTTCTAAAAATAGACCGCGTCAACAGAGTTTATCTTACTAAGTAAATTACAATCTGGTATATATGTTTGAGCAGCGATAATTTGTATCTAATAAATTGACACGGCAAATGGTAGAGGGGGAGTTCGAGCCTTAGAATAGAAACAAATGAAGGTAGAATGTCGGTATATTTCTCGGCTGCAGAACTCTCTCGCCGTGTGCAACAAGTTCGGGCTGCATGCGCTGTTTTCGATCACCGATCATTTGTGCGAAACATTGGCTCTTTTTCCCACAGCGATATGCATATTTCATAAGGGGCAAAAAATTAACAGGCCAAGAAAAGATACGCCTGTATGTAGAGGCCGCGTGTTAAACGCTACGAGTAACGCGCGAGTGATTCGAGTTTACGCTTTGCAGAGTTTGCTTTTTCACATGAGCCCTTTTACGTTCAGAGGGAGAGAGAGAGAGAGAGAGAGAGAGAGAGAGAGGGGAGAGAGAGAGAGAGAGAGAGAGAGAGAGAGAGAGAGAGAGAGAGAGAGAGAGAGAGAGAGAGAGAGAGAGAGAGAGAGAGAGAGTCCTGTTAACGGGACTTTGCTCGATCCACGAAACGGATGACGGCGCCGCGATGACAGTTCACATACGACGACGACGCGACGCGCGTGTCGCAGCGCACGCGAACGGAGGAGAGTTCAACGGAACCTTCCCACGTGCGGCGACCTCGACAATTGATCCCTTAATTCCTCCGAAGCTTTCGTTACGTGTGCTCGCCATCGCATTCCTAATTCGAACGTGATATCCTGACGGCGAAGGAGAGCGCCGTGCGTTCACCCCTTTATCGGCCATGCCTAACGCGGCTTATCCGATATTCTTAATGTAATGGATGCGCAATGCGTTCGACGGCTACGCAGGAAAGAGGGAATGAAAGTCTGTGTACTTAAAAGGTAATTAATCGGAACCTGTTGACGATTATTGTGGTGTAATAAAATGAAAAGCGTAATAATTGCGATATGCATCACAAGCATCCATAAGTAATCAAGTACTTCACAATGAAACGCATGGAAAAGCTTTTATTTCCTCATCAGTGATTTAATTAGTCGAATACTCACTGGCGTGGCACACTAGGCAAATGCTTACGTATTGTACAGCTCAAGTAAAAACTGATGAGGATAAGAATTGCAAATACTCGATTACTCATGGGTGTCCTTGATAGCGATTGTAATATTGTTCGACATTTCAGTATTTTTCCTTTAAGAGTCCAAGAAATGAGCGAAACGTCTGGACAATATTGTAATACATGTCCTGAGTATTCTGGACATTCGAGGATCAATCGTGTTTGTGCACAGGCTCTACCCTGACCCTTTATCTCATTACTTTTGTTGGAAATTATTTATTTCCGACGTATTCGCTCGATTTGCTCACCGTCGTCTCGTCCTCGTGCAACACCTGATCGTACTCGGACATCGCCACGCAGAATATGATTGCGGTCACGTCCTCGAAGCAGTGTATCCATTTTTTACGCTCGCTTCTCTGACCGCCCACGTCGAATAATCTGGAAAAGCAGAGGAAGAGGAAGATGAAACTGTCGATGTATCACGGCCTGCCATTCCGTAACTTTCGATCTTTACTTCATTTCCAATAATCCATCATTCCATCATGAATCTCCTCCTCAAGTGTGATCTCATAAAAAATCAGGGTACTTTCGAGTGCTCTCAAGGTGGGAAATTTTCGTCTTCCACGAATTTATGACAATGCCGAGAGGTAGTCGCGACGGAACGGGATTTCGGGACTGGATTCAGGGCTGGAAAACGTGCTGAACGTGCAGCGGTCGCTCCCAGGCGAGAAGTGAGTCCAGGCTGATTTAACGGGCCGAGCGTAATTATCTCGACACGCGTCTCGACAACCGCTAATGGCGCTAATTTCGATTCAACGCGAACGGAAAGAAGCGGCCGGCCGGCCGTGTGCGGCGGCTCCGTTTCCGACCGAGAACGCTCGAATTATCGCCGGTAATGACTCACGCGTCGGCCATTCATAACAAGGTGGCCCTCGCCGCATCTCCGGAGAGCGCCGCGTCGCGCTCGCGAGATTACAGAAATGAGTCGGCATAATGAGGCAAAAACGAGGCGATTGATATCGGCCGTTTATCGCGTCTATTATTGCGTCCTCGCGCGCGAAACGCTTCTACCAAGCGAAGCCGCGGATCCGTCTTTGCGATTCATCACGACTCGATTTCGATGCTCGTTATTCCCAATGATTTTCTCTTAACCTCTGCGGTCCGGGCGATTTTTATTCTTTTCTGCTTTCGGCCGACTTTTGCAGTCCTCAAAGCAGCGAACTTCCCCGTACATGTCAAAGGATAGAGTGGTAGAAAATACAAAACCCTCGTCGCGCCGCTGTAGTTTCCCGAATTAAAATCTAATCGTTTCAACGGCAAGCCAAGCGAGGACTCACTTGAAGTTGAGGTTTTTGAAGGAGAAGTGCACCTCCACGATTCCCGTCGTTTTCACTCGGGTCCTGAGAATGTCCTGCTCCGTTGGCTGATATTCCCTGGCCCCTAATCGGTCCAAATCGTCCAAGAAGCTGCGGAGAACGATGGATTTGTTAAAACGCGTCGTCACACTGCTCGACAAAGAGTAACTCCGTCGCACCACGTACTTTGGCATTCAAAGTATTTCGACAAGCGATCGTTGTCGAATGTTTCCTTCTTCACAGTGAGACTATTACACTATTACAGATATTTCTTTCATGTAAATTCGTTTCACCACGTTTCCTACTGGCGCAGGAATAGACCTGACAATAGAGCTCTATTAATAAATTAGGGAAAAATGCCGATACGTTCCTCGGCTAGAAAATTCGAGAGCAGCAGTTCTCGCTATAAAATTCCCTCCGTGTTACGCAAGGTTCTTTCAACGTCCATTTTCGGCCGAGCAATATTACCGTAATCATTCGTGGTTTAACCACATGTCTAAATCCAGTTTTCTCCATTATTATTTGCTACACGATAGGAGCAAATTCGATCTCGCCGGCCTTACGGGAACGCCGGTCGAGGGAGCTAAGGGCGCGGCTCGCAACAAGTAGCGGCTGGAAGCGGGCGGGTACAATAAATGGCGTTACTGTAATCGGGTCTTCGTAAACAGCCGTGCGAACCGGCTGCCAGCCGGCGAGGAGACGCTTCCACCAAGAGCGACAGAGACGTGCCTCGGAGAAGTTCCTCGCCAATTATGCGCGAAACAAGCGGTGCAATCGACAATACTTGTAATTCAATGTCGAAAGCGACGCGAGACAGTGGAGCTCTCGACCGCTGTCGGCGAGAAGAAATATTTTCCTGAATGCTAATTCAACGCAAAACGACACTCCAGACGTAAGAATAGTGCACGGCTCGATGGATGAGACAATTCACTGCATATATTTTTTTTACGCTTTCAGATAATGCAGCGTTTTATCGAAGGCTTAAAAATTGAGGTGTTCCTCGGGGTAGATGTAACATTGAGTACGACATGCTGAATCGTGAGCAAGTGAGTCTTTCTGAGTGAAAACGACTCGTCTTGTTGTTGTTTTTCGGATATTGTTTCTTTTGATGTAAGATAATAATATTCAATCTTATTGAGAAAGATCGGAACAGAAATACACTTTTATACGGACAAATATAATTATTCCCGAGTTCTCGAATAATTTCCCTAAGAGTGTAAGAGGTTAGGAAGAACCACGTAACGCCATCTTTCTAGGTCAGCGGATGCTCGCGGCGTTTAGGGGTTGCAGGGATGAGGAATGTCGGTTCCTTTCAAGTTCCGTTATGAAATAAAAAGGGAACGAGGAGACGAGTAAGAAAGAGAGCAATCCGAAGCTGATGACGAAGAGAACAAAAAAATAAATAGAACAAGAAAACGGGGGAGAAGAGAAACGCGGAAGAGACAGTTAAATACGAGGGAGTAGTACGAGAAAGAACGAAAGAGTCCTCGGGACACGAAAAAAACGAGGAAGAGGGAAAGGGGAGGGAGAGAGAGAGAGAGAGAGAGAGAGAGAGAGAGAGAGAGAGAGAGAGAGAAAGAATGCGTGAAAAACGAAAAAAGAAAATTGGAGCACATAACGCCGCGAAGAGGACGTTTCAGGACACGCCAAACTCGACGCGAGTCCTGATAACGCTTCCCCGAGGAGAGGGAAGAAGGTTAGATTTTTCCGGCGCGGCGGAAAAAAGAGGGGGCAGGTGGGGAGAAGGGGTGGCGAACGGGAAAAAGAGGAGCGAATAAACCGGCGAGAAAGTAGAAGGTGTACGCCGGAACCGCACTGTCGGCCATGTTGGCGGCATGCCACGTGACACGGGCGTGGCGTGACGTCATCGACGATCAATAATGACAAAGAGGGAGGGAGAGGGAGAGACGCGAAGAAGGTGGTAGAGAGAAAGAGAGGTTGTGCCATGAGTTCTCGTGCATTTCGACTATCGAAGTCGAACCACCACCACCATCGCCACCACCACTGCTACTATTACCACCTCCACCGCTCCCCTTTCACGACCTCATCTTCCGCCAAACCTGTCGCATCTCCCCGACATCTACCCTCCTCGCGACTCCTTCAGGAAATTCGCGTTACCCTCTTCCGGTTCGCTCGCGAGATCGAGTCTGTCTCTCGCAAACGTCTCAACAGTGCTTTAAGCGTTAGACGAGGTTCTCGCAGTTGTCTTCGCACGAAAACCATCCCCGTTTTCTCGCGTTCGTTTTTCGGCGTGGATGTCGGAAGAACGTCTCCGTCATCTTGACTTTAATGACGAGTTCCTTCGACCCAAACACAGCCAAGACCCCTCTTTAGACGAAGTGCCGCGGCTACGGTAATTCGAGAGTTGCAAGTTGGAGATGTGGAGAGGATCTTTTCCCGCGAAACTCGGACAATTTTCAACGATTTCTGGCTGTCTAGACTCGTATTAATAGCCGCCGCTTATTGCCTCGAGCGAGACACTTATATTTTCAATCAAAGTTAGATCTGAACTTTTTCCGGTTTAACCGCACGATAAATTCGGCATTTTATCCGCGATCGCTATTGGACTGAAACATTCGTATCTAACTCTAAAATTCATATTAATAATCGGTACCCTTGAAACTTGTTTCAAACGAGATATTCAAATTTAAATTTAGAGTTGGATGGGAGTTGGTTTTCCAGTCGGGTTGAGTTTACAAATGAAACGTCACTGAGATAAAATCCTGAGAGGAACAGAGGGCAAAAAATTGAAACGCAAATCTCTTTATCGATTACAATGTAAAATTCAAAAAGTTGAACGATATCACTCACACACACACATACGCGTGCACGACTATCGCTTTGATAATGGAAGCCGTGAAATGCAAGGCGGCGCCACGGTTTCTTTGTGTACATTTAATCTATTAATACCAGCAAGGCCATTTTTGTTTTATACACAGATAACGTGGGTGGTGTAGTTGGGCGTCTGTTGTTGTTCCGCGGCTGTCGTAAACGTATTCCCGTGCGTCAAGGAGGTCGTGGAACGTCGGCGGCGCGGCACGCACGAATCGTGCTAATAATTCCTACAAATTATCGAAGATTAAATTCACGCGTCCGTGTGTGCGCTCGCGTTTTGCGACCTCGTCGGCTGTGCGCGCCACCGTCCCTCCACATCCCTCTGCGTTTATCGAAAAGGCCGCTCTGCTTTCGTTGCTCAGGATTATTACAGCACGGCGGGCTGGGCTTTCCAGTGAATGATATATTAGGCCAGAGAAAGAAATGTGTGTGTAAATATGTGTGCATCCACGCGACCATGTATGTGTGTGTGTTCGCGCGCGCACTTGCGTGTGCAATAGTATACGATGCGATAGCGACGGTATCGTGCTGGCCGGTGCGAAACCGCAGTGCGGTTTATTAAAGCTAAGAACGGCGCCAGAGACGGCGGCGCGTGAGTTGCCGCTGAGGGGGGGAAAAAGAGAGAAAAATGGGAAGGGAATAAAAAGGAAAGAAAGGACGGAAGGAGAGAAAGGCAGAAGGAAAGAAAGCAAGAGACGATCGCTTTCATACGGCGGCTATTGCGTGCAGGCCGGTTTCCGTCAGCTATGGAAGGCAAACACGTATGTACGCGCCAGTTGGAGCCGCTATATCAGCCGGCTGGACCTCGCCTGGACGGCGAGCCGCGACAGCGGGTGGCACATATACCGCCGGCGAAATTGCGCGCTCGAGCCGCCGATTTAATCCGTCGCGACCAACTTGTATTTATGTTACGACGCTGCGATTTCGTTCTCCGCCGCGTCGTTCCGCGGGCCGGTCTCTCGCGGTGAGGAAAGTGACGCGCCAGTTCCCATTTTCGGGAAATACGACGCGGGTGATACGGCCGCGGATACGTGTCTGCTCCTCGATCTTGTTAACAGCCGGTTTCTTGGAGCGAAAGGAAGGAAGATCATTTTTCGCGGTTATCACTCTGCGATTGCTCTCATTGACTTCTCGGCAGAAAATTCTCGGTCGTTCAATATCTGGGAATTTAGGACTAGTTGTTCGTAAAAGAGATAAAAATATCTGTGATTTTGTGAAACGAAACGAACGCGATGCCCTCTTCTATCGTTCGCTCGGAAAAAAATATCGGAACGAAGCGAATTTTCAAGCACGAGCGATTATTCAATTAATACTTGCTGAGGAGAAACATGGTTTTTTTTCCATATTAATTCTCTTTAATTTTATCGTATTTTTTTTTTTTTAGTAATGCGAGGATAGACTGCAGTAGAGTTAAACTTTTAAATGAAATTAGTTACGCTGATAGCCAACTTTGATTATATATTTTTTAATAATTTAATAATTATCTTTTAATAATGGACCTCGGGGTGCCTAAGATACAAATAGCACACACGAAACGGGAAACGGGAAAAATAAATTAGAATAATAAGTTTGGGCGGCATGTCGACATGCTGCTCAGCCGCGACAAATTTTATAGTGATTTTCACTATAAATATCTCTTTCCGTGCGGTGACACGCCACGCCACGCCACGCCACGCGACACACGAGCAGCCGCGAGTTTCGCGATCCGCTCCGTCGAATACCGTCATACCTACACTTTGTCAAGGTAGACGACGGGCACCGCGGTCATTATTATACGCGCTCAAAGTATCCTGTAATAAAAAAAGAGCGCGCGCTTAGCGGACTGATGAAAGTATTGGAAAATGGCACACCACGCCGAGAGATACACACAAGCGCTACTATAAAATCAATATCCAACGAAGGGGCAGTGCGCGGAAATATGCCTGCGAAACGTATCGGGAAGAGGCGGAGGAGGCAAGAAGCAAGAAGAGAAGAAGGAGGACCGGGTGGAGAAGAGGCGAACAGTCTCAGGATGAGGCCTGCTACTGCCTCCGCCCTTTTGGGACACGCGAGTTCCCAGGAGTGAAATTCAAGTCCGGACGCCGTCTCCTCTCCTGCTGTCATGACGCGTGACGGCGACGGAAATCCCGGCGTAAATTTGCCCCGGGGCCAGAATTAGAGTCGTGTGCGCTAATGGAAAATTTTAATCAAGTCTTCACGGGGCGCGAAATATCCGATCTCGCCCGGAATAACCGCCCCGCCTGGACAACCGCGTTTTCGATATCTCCGGCCTGCGGCCCTTTGCCCTTTTGCGCAACGCGAGCAGCTCTCGGTCTCGTTCTCGATCGAGATCGAGGAGTCTCGAGCGGCCAGACCGAACAGCTGATCCAATTCTCGCGCGAGTTGTCATCGCGCGAGACGTCGAGACGTCCTCTCGCGGTTCTCTTCTTTCTGTCCTTCCTGTTTTACTTAACGTCACTTACTATTTCGCGGAGTCGTTCAATTGATACTCGTTGCTCCTGCCGAAGCACTCCTGCACCCCGTTGTCGGACCACAGCCTCTTCATGGCGGCCAGTAATTCTTCGCTAAAGGGCTCCGTGTCTTCCATTCTTTGTATCACGTCGAACACCATCTTCGCGTCCGTCTAGAAGCACAAGCAAACGCGTTCGGATTTGCTCGTTTGTTGAATATTCCCGTCGCGTCGTGTTGGGAATCGCGATATTGGGCGCTGACCGTTCACGTCTCGAATTACGCGAACAGATAAACGAACGGCTATTATTTTTTGTAATTTACGCAATACTTGACGTAACGTCGCGCGAGCTGAAATAAAGGCGATTTGTCGATGTAAATTAATCACGTAATTAACGCGCGGCTTTCGTAAGGTACACACGCACACGCACACACACACACACACATGTACAAGCTCAATAATTATTCGTGCGATCTTGGAGCGAGCATCCGGCAAGTCAGATCGCCTTACACGATCGCTTTGGACGGCTAATCGAGCGGGCAACACGTTGTGACTCGCTGTTGAATGCTTCATTCATTAGATAATCATCGGCCTGCGGTAAACTATTCTGGATGGCACGTCACGTCTCGCACGTTAACGTAGTCGATACGCGTTATTTAAGCAGCACAAATGCGCGACCTACAAATCTACTGAATTTCACTTCCGTAACGTTCTACAATCGATATCTCCTTGAAAGTTGCCGACGTGTGCGCGCGATGTAAAATTGTTGCAAGGGAAGAAATTCCGTCGAGGACACGAATCGAGATATGAATGTCGATCGACAAATCGTCTTGATCCAAGCTAAATCGCTTTGTCGTGTCGGTTCGAGCGAAGATGAAGAGGCGGGAATTCTTTGTCAAGCCGAGAAGATTGTCCTCAAAGTGGACTCTGCAAACGACTCGCGTCCTCGGCTCGCGCCTCTTCCCGCGCACACTTATACATTACCTCTCGCTCGTTGGTTGAAAAACTAATTCCCAGATTAGGCATCGCTCTGAGAATAGCGACTAGAGATTGTATCGTGTTGCTGTACACAACCGGTCTGTACTGCTTGAAGTCTTCCGGCGTGAAACCGCTCTCGTGGATAATTCTGTAAGCATAATCGGCACGGCGTTAGCGGGAGCTTAGGACATTTTTTAACAAAGCATGAGCAGCTATCTTCTTTCGACGGTAGACGGTTAAAATGTATCGCGCTCGCGTTCGTGAATGGAAAAAACATTGAAAACCGCTGCCGCGGCTTCGCCGCCGCCGCCGCCGCCGCAGCCGCCGCGTCAGTCACTTCAGACGTATTCGAGACAAAAACGGATTTCCCGTTAGAGGTTCGCACGTCGAATGGTGCTGCTATATTTACCGGATGTTGAGTAAACGGGGTAGACGATGTCGCTCCCTAAATGTCCGTCGCGAAATCTCACTCGAAATGAGCGAAAATTCTGAAGCGGCGCGACGACGGTGAAAGGCATTCGGGCTCGCGGAAAGAAATTTGTTTGTTCTCCAAGTTCTCCAAGTGAAATTTCACAGCGAGATATTTCGACAGTACACCCCGCAGTACCGTATTCCCCCGGGACTTTCGATTACGCGTAAGAAATCTTACGCGGAAGCAGGCATCGCTGTGGTGCACAAACGCGCACGTCGTGCGCAAGCGCAAAGCCGATCGTGTTAACGCACACGGCGTACGTGTGCAAACGCACACGTGTGATGAGTTGCAACGTGCGCTACGTACGGCCCGTGACTTACATGAGCGGCACATACCGTACATACTGTAACAATGTTCAAAGTCAACAAAGGTGAGTTATAGAGAGCCGACGCGCGGCTCTATACACGTACAAGCGAAAACACGGAGTAATATCGCGCGGGGTAGATTTATACCGGTATACACTGGCGGCTTGCTTGCCTATACTTCTCGACATAATCCCGCGAATGTCCGCGGTGTAATTCAAGCGAAATATCGTAGCGTATGTATACGTACACGTGTGTGTGTCTATTATCGTCAAAAAGCGACCTACATTCGGGAGAATGCAGATCCGGCGAAAAGCTCATAACGCGCCCGAAAATCTAATAACTAGCATAAATCTAATAACTCGGACCTTTCCACCGCGGGATTAAGCCGGAGAAAATCAGCGCGAGTCAGCCTCCCCAGCCCTCTCGTGTCTTTGTCTTTTTTCCTCCTAAGGAAATGGGCATCTAGAGAGTATCTCTCGATACTTTTTCATCAACCCGTCTCTGATTTTAATCAGAGTGTGTTTCTTCCGGATGGATATATATTTCGCGTTGTAATTCAGCCTCGTGCCGACGTTTCGCAAACATCGCAGCAGCTTGCATCATCAGGGCTAGAAGCTCCGATCCTGTCTGGTATCTTTTTTTTCTTTTTTCTTGAAACATCTTTCGACATATATAAGAAGCTGTAACGGAACGGTGTAAAGGTGTTCGAACTGGCGAGAGTATCAGTTGTAATTCCCCCGTAACAGCGCGCTTTCAAATACGGTACTCGTCACTTTGTTGGAACAGCCACCGTCACCAGTCTCCGTTACAACATTTAATGGCGTATTAATCCCAACAAAGAATATTATACTGCCCATTACGTTAATAAATGACGCAGAAACACGTCCACTGTTTCGAGAGTAACGATATTAACGACGGCATAAAGAGCACTATGTACGCACGCGCACATACGCACGCGCGGGTCCGGCTGTGCTTTATGGCTGTGCTCGCACGCGAAGGAAAAGCAGCCGCAAGTGTGTCTGTGTGTGTGTGTGTGTGTGTAAAATCACACTTCGCCCGTACTTCAGTCTCGGGTCTCGGTTGCTGTTTGCCGCATTATGCGCGTCCATAAATTTCGCTGGCGGAATGTACGGGAAACGCAGGTGCACGAACGGATGTTCGCTCCGATATTACCACGGTGTTGCGAAAGCGAATAGGCGCTCCCCGACACTGAGCGTGAGATCGATGTTAATTAAAATCGATGATTAAATCCGAATTAATCGAATCAACGATCAAGAGAGTCGTTGTACATTTATTCTTTAACTCTGCATTATCTTGAAGATTTAGCGTTGTTTCAGTGGAGAAATGTCAGACTGTATCAGCTGTAGACAATGTTCCAAAATTTTAATTCGAATAATTTCATTGAAAAAGAAAAAGAAAAAAGAAAAAAGAATTTAAAGGTTATTCTATTACGAAACATTAAGAAACTGATGAGAAATGAGGACAGAGTTGTCTTCCAAACGTTAAGCAAACGATCACTGAATAGCTCGAGAAGCGCTATATACCGAACGACACGGATAGGTCAGTCGAGATATACTTTTGTTTTCACGGACACCACACGGACGCGACATAACCGACGCGAAAATTTAATTTAAAAAGGAAAATTGCAAGTGAAAAATATATCCGCGCCGTAAAAGTAACATCCGTGTACGGGAGAATAGGGACACAAATGCGAGCCACAGGCGTTGTCCCGCCTCGTTCCGCAGAGTATCGTATCATAGTTCGACGAAGCGGCGGCTATCGGGTCTCGATATCCACTTAATATCCAAGATAAAGATATCGACGCGAGGACGAATAGTCGGTGTCGGTGTCGGGAGGAAAGTATTCGCGCGAGGCTCCGACCGACGTTCTAACGCTATCGAAGTACGGTCTACCGGCGGCGGCGGCGGCTTTCCTTCTTTCTTTCTTCGCGAGCAAGCGCACAGCGGCAACTTTGTTCGCCGGACCCATTCAACACAGGCCCATTCATGGGCGAAACTCGCAAGAAGAGACTCGGCCGCGACTCGGCGGCATGCACGTTAATCCGCGGCGCGAAAGCGCGACGTTAACATCTCGGACGCATCGAGCGCGCGCGTATCGCCCAACAGCTGCTGGGCTCCTCCTTGTGAATACAATGTGCAGCCCCGTATCGCAACACCGCGAGTATCGATCCCGCCGCGAGGCAACAGTTTGCCACGAAATAATGCCGATACACGGACGCGAAAAGATTGATACGCTCGCACACGCGACGACGTTAAAACTGCGGGGAAAACTGCATGGAACTGCCCAGGCGAAATTTCGCGGCATCTGAAACTGAGCTCCTAAAAATGCCGTTTATTGTGTGATGACGAAAGTCTCCCCGCGCGAATTCCAGATGGAATTTCGTACTCGGAATTCACTCGCGAATGGAAAAATCGTGCGTTCCGGAATGTCGGAATGTGCAACGCGACCGACGTGATGCACGCGCACCGAATTCACGCGTTTTTCACTCAAAGTTTCTCGCGCGACCGTCGACCATTTGACAGGGTTAAGAGTTAAAAGTTGACCGACGCAACGAGAAATTCGTCGCTCGGCTCGGCAAAGCAGCGAAAAAACCGGACGAAGCCACGAGACGGTGAGTCTCTCCGTGACTCGAACCGTTTAATTAACGAGCGCATAAGCATACGTTATGATTCAAACCATTTAACTTCTCCACTAAGCAAACCGAAACACACACTTCATTAGTGGTCTGACTCATTCCCGGGTGGTCGTTAATTCGTATCATTTAAGTTTAAACGACTTCGTGTGCCGGGCAGGGTGCGCCTGTCGTGAAGAAAAAACACTTTAGACCGATTAGCTGGGATTAACGTTAAACATAGCAAAGCTAACATCGCTGGTAATCGGGAAAAACAGGCAGACGAGACAATCGTCAGAAGTATTACAAAATGTCTACTTGCAGTATTTCTCGTTATAATTTTAAAGAGGCAAAAGATAACGCATTCAAGCCATAAATAAAGGTAAAAAATTATTAGAGACTCGCAAAAATTCGTCTGATCATCGGTGATGTCAAAAGATAATCCAAGCTGAGAGCTGGTGACCAACAATGGCGGATGCTTGGTACATGGAATCTGCTATTTTCTTACCACTAATAAAAGAAATACGACAAGCTCGGACGAGTTTTTGCGAGCTCCTAATGCAATCTCGAGTGTCGCCGGGAAAACCAACGAAAATCATCTCACGCGATACACCGTCGATTCTCGAAATAAACTCTGGACCTCACGAGCGGTTCGCACGTCGGATCGAGGAAGCGTGGGAAAATATTTCCGGCGATCGGGTCGCAGCTGAGCAGCGGCGCGCGCGCGCGCGCTCGCAGCAAATTAGCATTTCCGCGAGGTCGCGGCGGCTCCGAAAGGACGTAAGCGGCTTCGCACGCAGGCCGGACGCCGCATTGTGCGTCCTATTGTGTGTATCTCGCGCCGACTCATTCCCGTCGCATTCTTCGCGCGCGTCCCGTTTTCTAACGAACGAACGAGCCACGTTCGATCTTCGGCCGGGGTTGGGCGCTCTTTTAGCGCGCTCCGGCGACACGAAATCCGGCTAATTACGCGCGCGCACGCATCAGCCGAATGAATCATCCCCCCCCTCCCCGCCCTCGCGTCTCGCGCCGCCGCGGATACAATAGACCGTGTTTCCGGATGTTCGCGTCTCGCGACGCCGCTCTTTTACGGTCTAGCTACATCAAAAACGCCTCGAGTACACTATAATCGTGTCAACGTTGCTGCTGCAGCGGGCTCATTTTTAATAACCGCAGCGCTCTTCTCAGCGCCCTTTTGAATCTCCCCCACTTGATTCAGGAAATTTAGCGTTGCTTCAACAGAGAGATATCAGATGGGTGCGAATAATGCGGACAGTTTAAAAGTTTCGTTAGGATAAGTAGCCTCGAACGGAGAGAGAAATTGAAGAAGTGACAATTTAGAAAATCCATGATGAAAAATCCGGAAAATTGACGAAAATTGAATCAATCGGAACAGTCTTATCGTTGGAAGCATCATCTGCTTAAGCCTTTATATCCTAAATTAATTTACCCAAGACCTTATTAAATTTTTGCGTAATTGAATAACTCTTGGCATATCATAAACATAAGACAGGAAAATACATTTTGTTGTAACAATGTCAATGATTAAATTTTGACGTGGTATTTGTAAGTGCCGACAGGAATGTAGGGTAAGACACGGGAGAAAGGTTCAAGAGCGCATATATGGAGCGGTACTTTGAAGTACCATCAGGATACAAAGGGTTAAGGGACGCGTCGAGATCCAGAGGGTTGATATCGCGTAAAGATATCGCGTAAGGATGCGCGCTGCAAGCTGCTTTAAAACGCGCATACTCGTACTTGAACTTACGCTCCTTTTCTTTTTCCGCACATTTTTGCTCGCTTGTTTGCAAGAGAACGAGATCTCGAGCCGATTAGGAGTTGTCGCGTAATTAACTCGGGCTCGATTAATTTAATTGGTAATTGCACGCACGCGCGAGCCCGCGCTGGGATGCTGGTCGATACGTTAACGAATAAACAACGCACACACGGAGATGCGTAATATCGCGTCAACAATAGCATCCCCCTTCGAATGATAATCAGTGTAGTGCGAGAGCGCTACTGGCGATTATACTTACTTCATTTGTTTCACGATCGTACTCTTGCCGGACTCGCCCGCTCCTGAAAAACAGAGGAGAGGCGTCAGTAATTGCGCGCAATTAATCTTGTGATTGCGCGTATCGCCGAATCGCCGCGTTACGGAATGAACTTTGCGCGATGCGCAACGAGCGCGAGCCGAGGCTCGCCCTCTTCGCTTTCGCTATCGGACGAGCCTCGTCTCGCGATTCTCACGGGTTTACGCATAGCTGCGACGCTCGACGCAGCTATGCGTAGAATCAGGAAATTGCGGACGAGCGGAAGCTGCTACTTGAAGTCGTGTCAGGGGAAAACGAAAGAAAAATCGATCGTTGAACTTGAAGCGCGAAAAAGCGCGCCGGCCGACGCGACGTCGCGGTGACGATGAATCATCGTCTCGTGCGTCGGACTCGCATCTTCGTCGAAGAAGATGCGAAGAAGATGCCCACACGGAGTCTCGCCGGAGCGTCGACCTCTCTTCGCGATTCGAATCCCTTTCGATCCCTCTCCTTCTCCAAAATCTTCCTCGCGATGGCAATTTCGCGTGATTCAAGTAGCGGTCGAAGGAGCGCAAGGGCTATCAGGACTGATCGTCGGGGAAGACGATCTCGATGTCGAAAATCAGATCGATGTACGCGATGTATGTCGGGACGGAAGAACGGCTTGCTGATCGCGAGATACCTCGGTCGCTCTATATAAACCGGATACGCGTCGCTCCTCGTCGACGGAACTCGCTTTTCCTGCTTCCTTTGCCGCGCGTGTCCCTCACATACACACACACACAGTCTCTCTCTCTCTCTCTCTCTCTCTCTCTCTTTCCCCCCGTCGCTCGCGGGCTCTAACCATTTCGAAGGCACTTGCAGGCCAAGTGCAGCAGTATATAATAGCTACTCACGGCTACTCATAGCTAGAGCCGTTTAATATCGACTGGATACACGCGGGGTATCTCGAGTGAGCGGCCTACAGACGGCGAGAGCGAGAAGAAAGAGTCATCTCGAGACACCGACGATGATCCTCGTCGCGTCCTCGTCGGGGCAAAAACACCGGGAATAGAGGTAAACGAGTTGCAAATTCGTCCCGGAGCACCGGAAATCATCGACCGGCACGCTTCGAAGCCCTCGTTGGTTAGTTGGCTGGCGTGACGTCATGTTCCAGTCCCTCTTTCGTGCTCTCTTTCTGCCCCTTCCTCCCAGTCGAATTCTATTCTTTTTATATTCCGTTCCGCTCCAGAGGAATAGAGCCAGCTCTAAAATAGGATGCCCGGCTAGATAGAATGCGTTCCCGAAGCCTCGATGGACCAACAGGACGAAATGGACCGTAAACTCCGCTGCTCGAACTCCGCTAATTCTTGCTAAACTCTGCGTCTAACTGCGACAACTCTAGTTAAGAGGTCTAACTAGAGCTCATCACTCCGTTGAGTACACATAGGTGTGCCCAAGGTGTCGCCTTGATGCATCTCGCTACCGGTTTTCAGCATCCTCGAGCGCGCACGCAGCGGCGCGCGCTCTCATGTCGCGCGTCTCACCGACCGACTGTCTCTCTCCTTCGTCGAGAGATCGTTCGCAGCTACGATACGCGAATATTTCAGCCGGATTCAACCACGGACGCACTTTTATGATCGTCACGTGAGACGCGAAAAGAGACGCGAGGCTCTAACGCGAAGTTTCAAGAATTCGATACACCGTGGCGAATTAATCGCGAAACTTACGTCGCACAGCGACGTGAATTTTCGTGAACTCGCGATCCGATCTTTGCCGTAAAGGTTGCTCACGTTTTTCGCGTTACATTTCGCATTTCGCACGCGACTGTTCCGAGCGGATTCCGGTCCGTTCTTTCGCGTATTTCCGTCTCGTCATTCTGCGGGATAGATACAACGAGTACCAAGCGAGTGCAAAGCTCACAAGAGGGACTACCATTGCACGTGTCGGCCGAGTAAAGTCGCTGCCAAATTTATGTATATCTGTCTATCTGGACGCTGCTCCAGACCGGAATTGGCAGAGACGTTAACGACGCTTCTACGCCGTTAACGAGAGAGCTAACGCATTAATACATGCGGCATCGTTTTAATATAACTTAGCGAGCCGCATCTCTCGCGCGTTCTCTCGCGATAAATGTCAGCTGCCATTCTACGCGTTCTACGCTACGCTCGTAGTTCCTCGTTTGCCGGGGGGGGGGGGGGAGAGAGAGAGAGAGAGAGAGAGAGAGAGAGAGAGAACTGCACGATCGTATCTATTTTCACATCCGAGCGGAGAATGCAAGTCGATGCGCGATGATGCACACAGTGCGCGCACTGTATCCATCGTTATTTCCTGCAGCTGCCTAGCTCGCGGCCTCCTCCGCAGCAGCCCTCGCGGCTTCCTCCTCCTCCTCCTCCTCCTACATTCACCTGCTCTAGCCGAGCGCGTGACTCGAGGATACCTTTATCCGCGGCGCGAGCGATAAACGCGGGACGCGGCGATAATTTAGATAAATTCGAGTGCGGGGGAGAGAAGGCTGTTTGGGCGTCGTATAGTGCGCCGATATCGGCTACCCGAAGGTTGGTCGTGTGCAGGGAAATTCATGAAAATCCCACGCGAATCAACGCTGAATTGTAAGCGCGTCGTCATCGGCAGATCGGGGGCAGATAGGGTTTTCGGAAGAAAATTGCTATGGAATTTTCTAACCGACCAACATTCTACGCGTTTGTATTATACTTCGCCCTCTCGCACGCGCTATTTATATTTTATTTGCGCTCTATATTTTAGGAGCTATTTTAGGCTCTGAGGTATTAAAAAATTTACCATGTTTCTTTAAGCGAGGTAACACTCTGCTGCCTGTCTCTGCGTTACCGGAAACATGGCGAACTTAAGAGGGATTTGTAGCGCGAGAAGTAATTGTAAAATGTTCTCTCATCATCGATGAATTGGTAATTGCTCAAAGTTTTCGGCCGGTGGTATCATTTCCAGCGTTTCCCACGACTGTCGATTAATCCAGAAAGCGAACGCGTGTTCGAAAAGAAAAAGTGACATTTTGACAGCTTGACGTTTCGTACGCGTCAGTGAAGACGATCAATAGAATTTCGATAGGATTTCTATTGACGTACACAATGAAAATATAATTTCCATTATGTATGCGATGAAAATTGAGTGTCTGCTGCGTCGATAATAAAAACTCGGAATTTCCATTATCCTTTCTGGATGCATCAACAGTCGTGAGAAACGTGCAGCAGGAGCCGACGCGGCTGGCCGAAATCCTTCAGTGACCATCGATCTATCGATAGTTAACATCCGTGATTGGCTAATTATACCGAGGCGAAATTTATGTTAAACCAAGCTTCAGCTGCCGGGACTTTCCATTCTTTTTTTATGACGTACACGATTACTTAACACGTACGCGATTATTTACGTGAAGATTTACGCCGACGCGAATTTTACGTAAAAATATCGTTCGATGAACTCCCATAGGTCGCCCGTACGTGAGTTTTACGCGACTAATTATCACGGGTGATGGAACCGAATGCACATTAATGCACGTTAATGAATATTTCGCGTAAGCGCGTACAAGTGATTGCGGATTGCGTATTTTTTCCCGATTGTAAATGAGTAACAAAAGGAGAGACCGGCTGGTCCCTCGATAAAGATCAGGCAAAAGCGTCGGATCCGACGCGGAGATCGTCAGCCTCGAACGATCGCGTAAAAGCGACACGTTCGAGCGTAAAGGGAGGCGAGGATGAAATGTGCTGCGCGTAAATCCGCCGGCAAGTAAAACAATAAATCGCATAATGAGAGCGCGCTGTCGCAATAAGAGCTAATCCGCGTATCAATCGGCCGGCGCGGCCGGTTATCTAACTTTTGCAACGCTATTTAATTATCAATTTCAATTATTATTATTTAATTCGCGGACGAGCGTGACGATATTGCGCGATATTGTGGGATTACGTTCGGATGTGTCCCAATTTACGGTATTCGATAAACAGACGAAAAGAGAGCCGTTTTTCGCATTGGCGCCCGAGGAAAAAAAAGAAAAATTGGAGAGCGCGAAATTCTACGCACGTCGTGACGTGTGCAACTCGCTCGAGAATCAGACAACGATCGAGCATAATTACGGCAACAACGCGAATTAGATAACGGAGCTTAAGTACACAGCGCGAGGCAGCGCCTCGCTCTTACTACGTGATTTACGACCTTTGACTTTCTGGCATTTCGGCCGGCTTTAAAGCGCAAATGTACGGGCGCCCTTTGCCATTTAGCCCATTTCACATGGGCGCACGCACGCGGCGAGAGCTGGCCGTTCTTAAGTACACAAAGTACGCGCTCGACTGCGCCAGCAAAACCCTCAAAATTCCCAAAACAATCAGTCTCGACGCTGAATGCAGCGCGCTCTGTCAGCGCGAGTCGCAATAAATCATTTGAAATCATTCAAGCAAAGGAAATCCGATTCCTTCTTTTTTCACAGAAATATAAAAAGACTTATTAATACCGCATCGGGATAGGTATCTGCTTAGCGATATCTTTAGCAGTCGCTGTTAGCGATATTCTCGGCAATTCTTGGCAATACCGGGGGACGTCGTTGCGACTCGACATACCTGCGCCTGTGACGGACGTCAGCACAAATAGTTCGAGCGCGATCGGGAAATCGCGAAACCCCGGTAAAAATCAGAGGCATGAAAGGAAAAAGCGCTTTTTTCGCGAATCATGGCGGAGGGACGAGGAATAGAGACGGCGGGGCACTTCCTTGTCCCGGGCATTTTTACCGCTTCACATAGCGACGCGCTGCGCACACCGCGACGTCTCGCTCTCGTTGACATTTAACGCCACGCGGCGGCGGTCCTGCATCGCCTTGAAACACACGCAACGAAACGACGTTTCGTATTTCGTCCGCGACGTCGCCGCGCCGGGCTTCCAGCGGCGTTAATCGGATGAAAATACTCGCAGGCAATTTGCGTGCGCGTACACGCACGCACGTTCTCCACCGGCGAATGACGTCACCGGTTACACCAATAAACAGGACCCACATTTCGACCCCGAGGAATCGTATCTTCGTCGGTGCGTCGTCGCGCGCCTCGC